TGTGTTATCTTTACTATCAAGGTCATATGTTACCTTTACTATCAAAGTATGTGTTACCTTTACTATCAAAGTATGTGTTACCTTTACTATCAAAGTATATGTTACCTTTACTATCAAAGTATATGTTACCTTTACTATCAAAGTATGTGTAATCTTTACTATCAAAGTATGTGTTATCTTTACTATCAAAGTATATGTTATCTTTACTATCAAAACATGTGTTATCTTAAACATGAAGGTATATGTTACCTTTACTATAAAGGCAAAAGTCACCTGTACTTTACTTTTACTATAATCGCAAATATTACTTTAACTATCAAAGCATATGTTACCTTTACTATCAAAGCATATGCTAGCTTTACGATCAAAGCATATGTTACCTTTACTATCAAAGTGCGTGTTACTTTTTCTATCAGTTTACTATCAAAGTATGTTATGTACAGACTGAGATGAACAGACTGAGATGAATTGCCATTGTAAACTTGAAAGACACTTAAGAGATAAAAACACAAGTGATCGCCATCAGTCCGTCGTCCAAAAATACCATTACAAATAATCTAGACTTTTAATTGCGTTTTGTAGATAAGTTGTGCTATTTGAAATTATCTATGTAATTTTTTATGCTTTTTACTATAAGTCTATCTAATATTTTCATTCTATTTTACGCTGATTATCATTTTTTTGGAATGGGGTTTTTTTTTTTTAAAAAAGTGGGTTGGTTGGGGGTTTTTTTTTAAAAAAGTTATTGGGGTTTTTTTTTTTTTTTAAAATTGCAGCGTTTTGGGTTTTTTTTTCGGGTAAAAAGCCCCTATCAGGCGGGGGGTGGGAAAAAAAAAATAAACAAGGGGGGGGGGGGGGGGGGGGGGGGATTTTTAGGATTGGGGGGCCCCCCCCGCCCCCCCTTTTTTTTTTTTGCATGTATGGTGCTTTTCATTATTGGAGGAAAGAAAGATGTTATTTTACCACAATCATTGATAACAAAAATACAGTCACCATTTGATCGAATTTGTTCTTGAAAAATAAATGATGCTCACAGGTAAATTTATAAGAATTAAAGAGTGAATTCGTTTGTTTGTTTATCTGACTAAAGCGGTAAAAGCATGATACAGTTATTATTCACGTTACAAACCAGATCTAAATTTTGAAACAACATAATCGTTTAGTAAAGTATATAAATCATGCTAAACAAATGAGCCGCGCCATGACAAAACCAACATAATTGGTTTGCGCATCCGCGCAGTCTGATCAGGACCCATGCTGTTCGCTTACAAACCCTATTACAAGTAGAGAAACTAATAGCGAACAGCATGGATCCTGATCAGACTGCGCGAAGGCGCAGGCTGGTCTGGATCCATGCTGGTCGCAAGCCCATTATGTTTATTTGTCATGACGCGGCTCAAATGTAAAAGATATCGTTTGCCTTATGACATGGTTATACAAGACGCCATAAAAATATTTTTTTCTGTCACGTCCTTGGAAATATTCCATATGTCAATCGTAAAATTCATTTAGTGTGATATAACTTGTATTTCAATATTTTAAAAACAAAACAATCATGCAATAACTAAATGGCATTTGTTTATAACATAAACATTTATATTGGACTATATTTAGATGAATACGACAAATCATCCGTATATAAAATGTGCACACTCCTTCGAAAATCGAAATTTCTGATAAATTCAACTTCTGACAGAAAATTTAATGGGATCAACATTACTCTTTCCCTGGATCTAAATAATTCAAAATCGATACTTTTAAAAAAAGTGGGAATTTAAAAACATTTTTTAGAGGACAAACCCCAAGGTAGCCCCCTTTCCCATTCTACAAAATTTTCAAATTCCCCTTAAATTTTCAGGGAACTGGGTTTAAAAATCCCGAAAAGTTTTAAAATGTTTTGACCGTTTTGGCAATTAAAAATGGGATTTTTCTCAAAGAAAGGGAAGTATCGGGTTTTTGGATACGGGCCAAAAAACCCGGTTTTCACTTTTATGGGTTAAAAAAGATTAATTTTTCCCCCGGAAGATATTTCCCCCTCGCCCGAGGGTCGAAACCCCAATTTTATTGGTTTTAAAATTTGACGCTCACAATTGGACTAAGGTTGCAACCCTTGTAGGAATGAAGTTTAAACATATGCCTTTCTTTTGTTACACAATTACAGTTTTTAGTATGGTGGCTGATTTGGTACACTTTGCCCGTTGCGTTGTCGATAGCGACAACACAACCTATATCTTTATCGCCTTTTCGTCTTGTCTTCTTGTCGCCAGCAAACGCGCCATTTGGAGCGTTGCCGCACTGTCGTCTTGTCGTCCTGTCGCTAGCGAAGTACGTCAAACGGTGCGTTGTCGTGCGGCGCGTTGTTGCGATGTCGCTCTGTCGCTTGACTCATATATGTTCAAATAGCCAATCCTTCGATTTGAGCCGAGCGACAATTTGACATCGCGACAACACGACGCACGACAACGCGCCGTTTGGCGTGCATCGTTAGCGACAAGACGACAGTGCGACAACGTGCCGTTTGGTGCATTGTCGTGCTGTCGATAGCGACAATACGACGCACCAAAGTGTTCCAAATCAGCCACCATATTTTAGACATATAATGCTAGTATGAGTTGAGTCCTGAATAAAGCAGCTTTTCTGTACGAAATCTGCTGTGGTCATAGTATTATTTTTACAATAGGTTTATCTCTTAGATTTGGTTTGCTAAATTGCTAATCATGGTCATGCAACTACATAGTTAGGTGAAGAAGCAGGCGCTTGTTTTGGTTGAGTCTATTAAGTTTTGTTTACGGGGTTGAGTTGTCATACACAAATTTACAATTTATATGCATTTATTTTTTTCCAATGATTGTTATTATCTTAAATGCTTCTGGGATTGTTGTTTTATCAATTCGTTTGTAAATAAGATTGTTATATGTCTATTAACGGAATAATTTTAATGAACACGAAATTAGTTCAAACCTACATGTGTATTGGTAACGTGATGGTTTAAGCCAATGAAAACACGTCAATTATTATACTCAGGCAGAGAAAAAGTGTGCAAAGAGTAAATCGATAATCTTTATGTAGCCAGCAAACTTTGAATTGCAAGTATTTTTTCATATCTTTTCGGTAGGATAAACTTTTCGAGGATTCGTATCGTAAAATGGCTGCCATTTACAGTATCAAGTGATGATCCCAAGCACCACCGCGACTTAGCGCGGGAATTTTAATTATAGCTAACCTCGGCGCGTATACTTTTTTCATATTTTATTGTAATAAATATTTACAAACTGTGTCTTTCGGTTTTTTTTTTATCAATATATAACCAATAATGAGGTTAATATGAATAAATAATCATATCTCAAATCTTTGACTATGATTTACAATGAAATTCTACCTTAAGTGTATTAAAAAGGTTTTTAATTTCCTGTAATTTTATTTTGTGATTATGCTTCAAAAAAGTCAATTGACCGTGAATTTTCTTTTCATATTTTGATTTCCTTGAAATCATTTTTCTCATCTGAAGGCATGCAACTTTAATATGGTGATACATTAATTACATTCCATGAAAATGTTTAAAGATATAAAATATCTCATGACATGTTTGTTCATTTTACATTACACCTTTAATTCAGCAAACATAAAGTCTTCACAAAAAGTAGTATGCAATCGTACCTATATTACATACGAATGTATGTAATATTTTTCTTGTTACTTTAGTGTCTGGACCGGTGCCGAACACAAAATAAAAGCGAAGATGGACTACTGGGAAGGGGGTCAAGAAACGGGTCCCATGTAATGAATGTGATGGACAATGAAACGTTCGGCTGACGAGGCGATAAACAGGAAAAGCTTGTTTTTACATAGCCGCTGTTACAATAGTCTTTCTTTACGACGAAATATGTTATTCGTTTCTTAAAAAAAAAACAATAAAAAGCGCAAAATGCCTATTACTGACCGTCAATCTATTTTAGAGGAAAACGAAATAACGAACATGTAGTTTGGTTTTGGTCATGTGCTGCTAAATTGATGCACTCCACCATTAAAGTTATGAAACGTTATGAATTTCACTTATTTATTGTAAGTTTCGCATCGTTTAACTTTTAAATTAAAATTGTGTTAATCTCATTGAGCAATACAAATATAATATATATGCTACATGATGTATTACCTCTGTTTCCTTGCGTCACAGAACCTAAAGAAATTAGGAAGAAAATGTTTAATGATTTTGCGCGGCTTGACTTCTTCTAGCGCGTAAGGTTTTCGAAATTCATACACTTTTTGAGCTTATATCTATTCTTCAACAGATATCTTAGATAAATTTTGTTGTTGTTTTTTTTACTATTAGTATATATGCACATTTGATCCCTCCGGATAGATATAAGGGAGATAATTAATTTGTAGCTTCTGATTTTAATGCATTTTTTATTTGCTCCCTTGAGAACACATTTTAAAATGGGGTTTGTTCTAATTTACTTTTTTATGCTGCTGCACGGATTTATATTACAATAAATCCGTGGCTGCTGTTTAAGTGTTCTATGTCATTAATTGTCATTTGTGTAACGACGTTTAAGAGTTTCTTATTGAATTTATCTAAAAGGTGTCAATATAGAACATTCAGCAATAAAGAACTCTCTGTTTTCTTTACATATACAGTACTGGTAGGTTCCCAGATAGCAGACAGTAGTTGGCCCAACGTTGGGCCAATTACATTTGCTTTGTTGGCCCAACACATAATGCCAACGTTGGCCCAATGTCAATTTGCTAATTGGGGCAACGTTGGGCCAACGGTTGGTATATGGTTGGCCCAACGACTGCTTTCCTACTCTTATCGTTGGCCCTCCATTGGCCCAATGACTGGTTTTCCTTCCTATCGTTGGCCCTCTGTTGGCCCAACAACTGATTTCCCTTCTTATTGTTGGCCCCACGTTGGCCCACTGACTGGTTTCCTATAATAAACATTGGCCCTTCGTTGGCCCAATGCCTTATTTTCTACTATCTAAGTTGGCTCTCAGTTGGCCTATCACTTTGTTTCCTACTCTTATTGTTGGCCCTCCATTGGCCCAATTACTTGTTTCTTACTACTAACGCTGGCCCTCAGATGACAAGACCAAAAACAGCATGTCTCCTAGAATTCAGAGAGACCGTAAAATAAAAGAACATAAAATATTCTAATTACTACAATTTATTTCTAAATGTTGTTCACATATCATTTTCATTTTCTTCTCTTTGTTGTTGCAACTTTTTAGCCAGTCTCTTCCTCCGCCCGCCTCCCCTATCCTTGGCATATCTTAGCCACTCCTTCATTGTCTTCTCGATTTCATTATGAGTAGACCCCTGTCTACTTCCTCTTACAGCATCTGAAATTTATACAGTTTACTGATTTTATTTAAACATACACTACTAATTAGAATTTACTAGTTTAAAGGCAAATAAAACGGATAAGACTTTGATAGTAAGGAAATATTTTAAATTACAAGTCAATAGATTTAATAGTTATAGAGATATTTGAAATAATTAAACATTTTAACCTAAAATTTTCAAGTTAAAAAGAGGAATAATTCTGTCAAAATGATGATCATTTACAACACAAGAGGCATATCTTACACCAACGGTGAAATCAACTTTGAAAAAGTAAAAATACAAACCTAATATGACTGTTTTAAGTCTAAGTTTTTCGAGCCTTTTCCAACCCAGTTGTATTCTAGGGCAACTTCCTGAGACAAAGTGTGAGACATAACACGGCGAACATTGCTCTCCACACTATCTCCTCCAATTAGACATAAATTTGCTGTCTGAAATGAAATAAAAACAATTTTGCAGTCGGGTAAAGTAATTTGTGTTTTATGCGAAGTTACACTTTAAATTTAATTTACACAAAGTTTCGTATACCACTACCAAACATATTAATATAAATTACCTATTTATTACTCAGAGCAGATTGTATGAGCTTAACAGTGCTAATTGTAGTTTGTCAGTTTGTACTAACTTGCAACTTATCAAAGATTTTTTGCAGTTATCACAATAAATTTAGATGTAAAATTATGCACATATCATATTTTAAGCTGATTAACACTGATATAATTAAATGGTTTTAATTTCATTACAAAAATCAAATTCATTTCTGAAAACATCAAAGTATTTTCCACTACCAATCCGCCATTTTGTATTAATCACAAGACCTGGTCACGTGGATAGTATAACAGGTTTTAAAACACTTATTCCGTGTAGGTTTAAATACATTAATATATTAGAAGGGTTTATTTTAAAGATTAAAGTAAAAAAAACTCTAGATCTACTTACATTTTTCAGTGTTGAGAAATTGCAGTCTAATTCAAATTTATTTAAATATATCTGTAAACACGTCCACGCAGCTCGAAATCAAGGGATGGAACGGATGGGTAGTGCCAAAATGATCCTATTTCCATTCATTGATTACATAACCAGAGGTTAATTAGAGTTTAGAGTGGAAGATTCCGGAGGTTTATTGTAAACATTTAGGATGGTTAATCTATTTCAGAACATGTATAATTGCTTTAGATTATACATCAGATCTTCAAGATTTCTATAGATCTATATAGATACATCCCCTACTACTGCATAGCCTGGGCTTTGGTCATTTCTAGACTCACAAAGTAATTATTTCTTACGTACATTTCTGATTTAATTTATATGAGTATTTCTTGAATGTGACAATATTGAAACATGGCTTCAAAAAAAACTTTATAAACTTTAGTCTTTATATACTCATTGTAGTGTACTGTTTATATACAGTAAAATATCTACATGCATATATGTGTTTAAAAAAATAAATTTTTGGTCAGATGCAGTAATATATATTTGACGAAAATGTATCGTTGGTCAAACGTTGGCCCAACATCTGTTTTAAAGTACATATTTATCGTTATTGGGCCAATGCAGAAATGTCGCTGGTGTTAACTTATGGTTGGTTCGACGTTGGGCCAACAACTGCATTTATAGTACATGTTAATTAGTGTTGGGCCAACCATGGCCCAACCACGATTTTCCTTTGACGATTTTCCGTGGTTGGCCCAACCACTGCATGTTTACAGGGTTAGTGTGCTGCTTATATGCATCTGTATAACGAAATACCATATTCTTATATGTCAGGAAAAAAACCAACATAATGGGTTTGCGACCAGCATGGATCCAGACCAGCCTGCGCATCCGCGCAGTCTGATCAGGATCCATGCTGTTCGCTATCAGTTTCTCTACTTGTTAAAAGGTTTAAACGCGAACATCATGGATCCTGATCAGACCGCGCGGATGTTGGTTTTGTCGTGACACGGCTCATATAATTATATGTATCTGTATATTGAAATTGGTCCCAGGTTTAACCAACAAATTGACTTTTGTATAGACCCTTTCATTTAAGACCGTATTCAAGTTGTCGCCCTTGGATGACGTCATTGGGGGATACGGTGGACAATGCCGATACAATTACGTACAATAATAGAGGGCTATAAAGATCTTAATCATTTCTCTTTTAAGATTGGCAAATTAAAATTGCCAAAATTTTGTTTAATTGAATAAGATATTACATAAAAGGGATGGTGAAATGAATAAATATGTTTACTATATAATATGGTAAACGATTTGTTTTAATAGTAGACCATATTCCTGGGTAACTGATCATGATTACCATTTTCGTTAGATTCTTAATAATGAAAATTTTACCATGCAGTTAAATCGTACTAACTTGCTAATACCAGAGATATAGATAATGTATCTATGTCTCTTCTAATATACAATACTCAAAAGATATTTTGAGTTTCAAAAATGTAAGGATTCTGTTGTTTCGAAAAACGGCTGCGTAATAATAAATTGCAAGATACTGGTTTATTAAAAATCATTTTGATTTAAGCATTACTAAGACAAAGAAAAGAAAACAATTTAAATCTATGTAATTTAAAAAAAAAAATGTAAAGGCATAAAAAGCAAAAAATGCACTCTCAAAAAATCGTACATCACACCAATATATTTAAGCTGGTAAAGTAATATTTTCAACTTGATACATTTTAATTCATAATCTGCTTATCGAATATTTAAAAAATCACACACAAAAAACAACAAAAACAAGTTGTGAATCACTTTCACAGAAATTCGTGTTTAACTGAATAATAAGTTTACGTATTTTTAACTGTGCCAGTTGGTAGGACTCTGGATCGAGTATCAAATCAGTAAGGCATAACCAAAAAGTCCTTACGATGATCAGGTACGTATATTAACGTATATTAACGGTATCCGCAACTCTATACAGTAAATCAATAACGGTAAATTATGCTGTCGTGGCAGATAATCCATCCAGACTGCCGATCGTTATTGATTTTTATCGACGATTACATATCATTAAGCGGTGTGATATTTGACCTTGGTTATTTAAATTACCGTCAACATGTTATTTTCTGTTCAATTTTTTAAAAGTAACATATTCTAGAAAGCTGAAAGATAGAATTTTTCAAATATATATTTTATAAATCCGTGCGTTTAGTATGAAGAAAATAACGACGAGTTAAACACAGAGTTTGTTTTTTTTGTCTCCCGATTATGTCAAAACTTCAGTAAAAATAATGATGCCCTCTTCGAACAAATATAAGATTTTTTCGTAATTTATGGTCCGAATTTAGTTAATATACGTACCTGTTAATATACGTACCTGCGATGATCCATAACAAAATTCGGACCATAAATATTTTGACAACTAACAAAAGTGACGTAATCTGATGTAATGTTATAACTCTAAAAAATGAACCCTGGTGATTTATGATATCACAGCCAAGTGCCGCATGTATATACAACATATGTACCCTGTTAATCAATATATGTTACGGCCCAGTGGCGCTCATATTTCCACATCTATTTATCTATGACATAAGTTACTGGGAAAAGATATTTAAAGGATAGATTTTTAATATCAAAATTATCTTATTATCGGCTGTTGCGAATCTAAAATTATTAAAGACAATGCCTCATGATTTTCGTTCTTTCCGGAATATTTATAAAATTATATCCTTCACTGGTTCTTTGAAATATTTTTTATACGGCATAATGAAAAAGAATCAGTAAGTATTGACATAATGCATTCTGTTATTGTTCTATTAAAGCTTGAAAAAAAACAATCATTAATCTTATTTTCAGGTTTGTCACAAATACGCCGGAATTTTCTAAATGACAGAAAATAACAAAGAAAACTAGAAAATGGCCATTTAAATTTATAATACGGGGAAGTCAAAGACCCGACCCGCGAAGCGGGTCCGGGCTTTGGCTTGCCCGGCTATAGACTACACGTGTATATTTAAAAGAAAATCAAATAAAAAACAATAGAAAATATATAGAATTCTAAACCTATCAATGAAATTTTCAGTGTCAGTTCTAGTCGGGCGGCACCATTTTCAATGTAATTCAATGATAATAGGCGAGATATTCCGATAGTGGACAATCGCAACTTTTCGGATAAATAATATCGTCGAGTATTCCGAGTGAAAACGGAAGCGGAGCATATAATACCGAATGACACCTTTAAAACGGAAAAATGAAAGGATTTTTTACCAACTTCTCCGTTCATAGGCTTTGCCTAATTTCATATTAGACAATTTCAGTGTGTATGGGTGTTTATGAAATATTAAAATTTTATTTAGTTACTAGCTTTTTATCCTGGCATTTGAGAAAATCTAGATCTAATAAATATATTCACTTTGAAATTTCGCTGTTTCACTCCGTAGCGACACGGATTTATAAATCCGTGGTAGCGAGATTTAATCTCAATCTTTGCTTTTGTATTTTTTTCTATTGTCTTGATATTGAATTTATGTATGCATGCGTAAATTTTTACATGTTATAATCATAATTGAACGATCAGTAATGAGTATTTACTCATGCATAGTTTTATCCCCCATTAACGTCACATCCGGTAAGGGAAGTAACTCTTCACTGACTGTTATCGCTTAAATGAAAGGGTCTATAGGCAACATAAAGCAAACTATAGCTAAATGAAGAAGTATTTATTCATTAACTCCAGTCCAATCAATTAACACAATCAAATTACTAAGAACTTGTATAAGCACGGTGAGTAACCGCCGCTGAGTAATTTTCACCAGCGTAGAATTCTCACGCGACACCTTTTCCGGTTACTCATCAACATAAATAATTTTCTGCATAAAATAGATTTTTTTTTTCGGAAGGGCTGTTGCAAGGAAACAGAAAATGTCGGACCGAAAGGCAGAGTTGGAGAGAAAGAAGGCTAAGCTGGAGATGATGCGCAAGGAAAGGCAGGAAAAGGAACGAATAAAGAAAATGAAAGAGGTAACAAATTTGTACAAGATCTCAACGCACTCCTTAAAATTATCTCATTTATTCTGAGCTCTTTTATTTTTACTTCAGCTTGTAAAACATTTGAATGAAATACATCTAACTTTTATAGAATGCAGTAATGGTACAGGCGTTCGTGTATTTTGGCGAGTTGCACTTACTACTGTAAATTTCTGTAATTTCCACACAGAATTAAAATTAGGAAGTGGCTAGCTGTACGGGCCCGTACTGCTAGCCAAAAGTTCTAGCCGTACGTGAGTCACGTACGACTAGCCAGGACAGACTCACGTACGACTAGCCAGGACACACTGTAAACTCCCTGTAAACTCTGGTGTCCCCCAAGGCTCAGTCCTCGGCCCACTCTGCCTTTTGATCTACATTAATGAACTTCCATCTTCTGTCTCCAAGTCTCAAATTCGCCTCTTTGCTGATGACACTGTGGTTTACATTACTATAAACTCGTCCTCAGACTCACAATCCCTTCAGGAGGATCTTAATAAGATGCAAATCTGGGAAAGGGAGTGGGACATGGAATTCAACCCCTCAAAATGTCAAGTCCTTCACATCACTAAAAACAAAAAAGTCATCAACAACAAGTACTTCCTTCATGGCCAAGCTTTAACATCAGTTCCTAGCTCAAAATACCTTGGCCTTGACTTGTCCACAGACCTAAACTATAACACACATATCTCAAGAATTACATGCATTACAAATGCAAACAAAACCCTAGGATTCATAAAACGAAATATCAATACAAAAAATGAAAAAGTAAAACAACTAGCTTATAAATCCCTAGTAAGACCACAGTTAGAATACGCATCAACTGTTTGGAGCCCCTACACACAATAAACATCCAAAAAATAGAGATGGTCCAAAGACGAGCGATACGCTGGGTAAAACAGGATTACTCCCCTTTGTCATCAGTTACAGCCATGCAGAAAGATCTTGGCTGGCGTTCTCTCGAGCATCGCATACTAGACTTTAGACTTATTATGTTTTTATGCCACCGCAGCATCTGCGATGCGGTGGCATATAGCGATTCACCTGTGTGTGTGTTTGTTTGTGTGTGTGTGTGTGTTATATAGGTTATATATAGTGAACTTCAAAAATCTTCTTGTGAAAAACCACTAGTCCAATTTCAACCAAACTTGGCAGGATTGATCCTTGGGTGAAGGGCTTCCAAAGTTGTTCAAAGAATTTCATTCCATGCAGAAATCTGGTTGCCATGGCAACCAAAAGGGATTATAAGAATAAATTTAAAAAATCTTCTTGTAAAGACCCAAAAGGCCTAGAGCTTAGATATTTTGCATAAAGCATTGTCTGGTAGACCTCTACCAATATTGTTCAAATTATAGCCCTGGGGTCAAAATCGGCCCCGCCCCGGGGTCATTGATTTTAACTATATGTACATAGGCCTAGAGCTTAGATATTTTGCATAAGGCATTGTCTGGTAGACCCTTACCAAGATTGTTCAAATGATAGCCCTGGGGTCAAAATCGGCCCCGCCCCGGGGGTCATTGATTTTCACTATATGTACATATAGTAAAAACTTAAAATACCTTCTTGTAAAGACCCAAAAGGCCTAGAGCTTAGATATTTTGCATAAGGCAGTGTATGGTAGACCCTTACTAAGATTGTTCAAATGATAGCCCTGGGGTCAAAATCGGCCCGGCCCGGGGGTCATTGATTTTCATTATATGTACATATAGTAAAAACTTAAAATACCTTCTTGTAAAGACCCAAAAGGCCTAGAGCTTAGATATTTTGCATAAGGCATTGTATGGTAGACCTCTACCCAGATTTTTCAAATTATAGCCCTGGGGTCAAAATCGGCCCCGCCCCGGGGTCATTGGTTTTCCTTATATGTATATAGTAAAAACTTATAGTAAAAACTTTAAAAAAAAAATTTCTAGCAATTGACAAATGCTAGAGGTTAGATATTTTGCATGAAACATTGTGTAGTGATATCAGCTGACCTAGATTTTGACAAAGTGTCTAACTGTGTTGTCGTTTGATGTAGTCATGAAATTTAGGCTGTGTGAAATATGACCTTCACAACCAAATTCACTAGACTCAAGTGCATTGTTATATTCCTACTCTGATCTTTTATTGGATTAACAATAGATTTAACCACTAATCTGATAATAAGAATTAGATAGGTCAGGGATCTATGCATTATGACAATCTAAAATTGAAAATAGAAACAAAAAAAATCTGTTCCTACGTAGTGTTGTATTAATGCGGTGGCATAGCATTTTTCTCAAATGCAATCTTGTTTAAAATCTACCATAATTTAGTAGCCATTAGCCTTCCCACCTACATTAAAACTCCAACTAGGCTTACTAGACATATGCATCCCCTCTCTCTTAGGAAAATACAGGTTACATCAGACTACCATAAGTTCTCCTTCTTCCCCCACTGTATCACACTTTGGAACCAGCTCCTAGGGAACATTGTCACCCTGCCTGATCTAGATCAATACAAACAGGCAGTGGTTAAGATACAGTATTAGTTGACTTGTTGTGTTTTTACTTTTAAATCTTTCTTTCACCCTTACTAATAAAAACATTTTTACAATGACTAGAAGCTTTCAAAGTCTCTCACTGTCCTGATCATGTTCATTTTCAGGTTTTTACTTTCTCTCACACCTTTTACTAACACACCGACGCGCACAATTTCCTGCCTATAACACTCGCGAGAGGGGTTGGCAGTACTCAGAGATAGATAGATAGACATTTATCCAATGCCTCATCTGATCTCAGTCATTAACTAAATTTGTTTTATTATACCCCCAAAAACGAAGTTTGGGGGGGTATATAGGAGTCACCCGGTGGTCGGTTGGTCGGTTGGTTGGTCGGTCGGTCGGTCGGTCGGTCGGTCCAGACGTCCGTTGCATTTTCCTTGTCCGGAGCATAACTTGAAGACTAATGCTTGGAATTCAATATAACTTCATACAATGGTCAAGCACATTGAGAGGAAGTGCAGTGCACAAGAACCATAACTCTATCTTGACTAATTACAGAGTTATTGCCCTTTGTTACTTTTCCTTGTCCGGGGCATAACTTGAAAACTACTGGTTGGAATTCAAAACAACTTCACACAATTGTCAAACACAATAAGGGGAAGTGCAGTGCACAAGAACCATAACTCTATCTAAAGTAATTACAGAGTTATTGCCCTTTGTTACTTTTCAATTGCTTTCTTTTGTCCGAACCATAACTTGAAGACTTATGGTTGGAATTAATTATAACTTTATACAATAGTCAAGCACATTGAGAGGAAGTGCAGTGCACAAAAACCATAACTCTATCTTGACTAATTACAGAGTTATGGCCCTTTGTTACTTTTCCTTGTATGGGGCATAACTTGAAAACTACTGGTTAGAATTACAAACAACTTCATACAATTGTCAAACGCAAGAAGGGGAAATGCAGTGCACAAGAACCATAACTCTATCTAAAGTAATTACAGAGTAATTGCCCTTTGTTACTTTTCCATTGCATTTTTTTGTCCGGACCATAACTTGAAGACTAATTGTTGGAATTCATTATAACTTCATACAATGGTCAAGCACATTGAGAGGAAGTGCAGTGCTCAAGAACCATAACTCCATCTTGACTTATTACAGAGTTAATGGCCCTTTGTTACTTTTCCTTGTCTAGAGCATGACATGAAAACTACTGGTTGGAATTCAAAACAACTTCATACAATGGTCAAGCACAATAATGGGAAGTGCAGTGCACAAGAACCATAACTCCATCTTGACTAATTACAGAGTTATTACCCTTTGTTACTTTTCCATTGCTTTTTTTGTCCGGAGCATAACTTGAAGACTAATTGTTGGAAATCAATATAACTTCATACAATGGTCAAGCACATCGAGAGGAAGTGCAGTGCACAAGAACCATAACTCCATCATGACTAATTCAAGGTTATTGCCCTTTGTTACTTTTCCTTGTCCAGAGCATAACTTGAAAACTACTGTTTGGAATTCAATACAACTTCATACAGTTGTCAAGGACATTAAAAGGAAGTGCAGTGCACAAGAGCCATAACTCCATTTTGACAAAATACAGAGTTACTGCCTTTGATACTTTTTCTTGTCCGGAGCATAACTTAAAAGGTACTGGTTGGAATTCAAAACAATTTCATACAATGGTCAAGCAAAATTAGAGGAGCAGTGCACAAGAACTATAACTCCATCTTCAGTATTTATAGAGTAATGGCCCTTTGTTCCTTTTCCTTGTCTTTCTGGACTTATTACAGGGTAATTCAATAAAACTTCATCAATGACCACCACATTGAAAGGAAATGCAACATACAAGAACCACAACTATCTTTAATTGCCCACAACCATAACTCTATATTTCAATTCTTTTACAAGGTATTCTGTTACTAGTAACATCCTCATTTCCGAAGCAGTCTTGTGGGGGTATTAATCACATTTAGTGATAGTTCTAGTTTATTATAAATATGAAATCATATTTTAATTTGGATAAACTGTTATTTTATATATATTTATTTATATATATATATATATCTTATTATGTAACTGTGATCTATGTTGTTGCTAAAATAAAATAATAATAAATAATTTGTTTGCACTTGGCCCTTATTTGAAATAAGCCAAAGCCTATGAACGGGGAAGTCGTTAAAAAAATTCCTTTCATTTTTTCCGTTTTAAAGGTGTCATACCGTACTTCATGCACCGCTTCTTTCACTCGGAACACTTGATGATTATTATAAAGTTGAGCTTTGTTCCGTTATTGGAATACCCTGCCTATTATCATTGAGTAACATTGTATAAACAGCGGCGCCCGACTAGAATTGACACTGAAAATTTCATTGATAGGTATAGAATTCTATATAATTTTTAATTGTTTTTTATTTGATTTTCTTTTAAATATACACATGTAGTCTATAGCCAAAGCTTGGGCCCCGAATGACTTTCTCTTATTAAGTATTATTGTTAACCTGAAAAATCATCACTGACCAGGATTTGAAACCTTGATCTCTTCATTACAGGACGGACACTCAGAGTTGTCAATAAGAGTGGTTTGACGATGGATAATATCTGTGAAAAAATAAATTATTTATGTGCATTGGTTGAAATTGCATTTGTTTACATGGACAAAATACTCGAGCAGTAGGCAAATCCTTATATGAAATTAGGCAAAGCTTATGAACGAGGAAGTTGGTTATAACATTGTTCATTTTTTAAATATACGCATTTAGTCTAGAGCTGGGCCAGCCAAAGCCTAGGCTTAAAATAGCCTCATCTTTGGCAACCAGAATCATGAACATAAGGGTCTATTTGCAGCTCTTGATGTATGTATTGTACTTATATACTTTGTTTATATTGTAGCAAACAGATGATACTCCTAAGCCACCAATGTCACAGAGTGCTCGTGATGAAGCTGACAAGTTATTACAGGACCTTGGTATACCCCCAGCAGGTAAACTTGACAGTTATTACAGGATCTTGGTATACCACCTGCAGGTAAACATGACAGTTATTACAGGATCTTGGTATACCACCTGCAGGTAAACATGATACTGGTAGTTATTTCAGGAACTTGGTATACCACCAGCAGGTAAACCTGACAGTTTTTACAGGACCTTGGTATACCACCTGCAGGTAAACGTGACAGTTATTACAGGATCTTGGCATACCACCTGCAGGTAAACATGATAGTTATAACAGGATCTTGGTATACCACCTGCAGGTAAACATGATAGTCATTACAGGTTCTTGGTATACTGCCTACAGGTTAACATGATAGTTATTACAGGATCTTGGTATACCACCTGCAGGTAAACATGATAGTCATTACAGGACCTTGGTATACCACCTGCAGGTAAACATGATAGTCATTACAGGACCTTGGTATACCACCTGCAGGTAAACATGAAATTTATTACAGGATCTTGGTATACCACCTGCAGGTAAACATGATAGTTATAACAGGATCTTGGTATACCACCAGCAGGTAAACATGAAATTTATTACAGGATCATGGTATACCACCAGCAGATAAACATGATAGTTATTACAGGATCTTGGTATACAGCAGGTAAACATGATAGTCATTACAGGATCTTGGTATACCACCAGCAGATAAACATGATAGTTATTACAGGATCTTGGTATACAGCAGGTAAACATGACAGTTATTACAGGATCTTGGTATACCACCTGCAGGTAAACATGATAGTTATAACAGGATCTTGGTATACCACCAGCAGGTAAACATGAAATTTATAACAGGATCATGGTATACCACAAGCAGATAAACATGATAGTTATTACAGGATCTTGGTATACAGCAGGTAAACATGAAATTTATTACAGGATCATGGTATACCACCAGCAAATAAACATGATAGTTATTACAGGATCTTGGTATACAGCAGGTAAACATGACAGTTATTACAGGATCTTGGTATACCACCTGCAGGTAAACATGATAGTTATAACAGGATCTTGGTATACCACCTGCAGGTAAACATGATAGTTATTACATCTTGGTATACCTACAGCAGGTGAACATGATAGTTATTACAGGATCTTGGTATACCACCTGCAGGTAAACATGATAGTTATTACAGGATCTTGGTATACCACCTGCAGGTAAACATGATAGTTATTACAGGATCTTGGTATACCACCAGCAGGTAAACATGATAGTTATAACAGGATCTTGGTATACCACCAGCAGGTAAACATGAAATTTATTACAGGATCATGGGTATACCACCAGCAGATAAACATGATAGTTATTACAGGATCTTGGTATACAGCAGGTAAACATGATAGTCATTACAGGATCTTGGTATACCACCAGCAGATAAACATGATAGTTTATAACAGGATCTTGGTATACCACCAGCAGGTAAACATGAAATTTATTACAGGATCTTGGTATACCACCAGCAGATAAACATGATAGTTATTACAGGATCTTGGTATACAGCAGGTAAACATGATAGTCATTACAAGATCTTGGTATACCACCAGCAGGTAAACATAAAATTTATTACAGGATCTTGGTATACCACCAGCAGATAAACATGATTGTTATTACAGGATCTTGGTATACAGCAGGTAAACATGATAGTCATTACAGGATCATGGTATACCACCAGCAGATAAACATGATAGTTATTACAGGTTCTTGGTATACAGCAGGTAAACATGACAGTTATTACAGGATCTTGGTATACCACCTGCAGGTAAACATGATAGTTATAACAGGATCTTGGTATACCACCTGCAGGTAAACATGATAGTCATTACAGGTTCTTGGTATACCGCCTACAGGTTAACATGATAGTTATTACAGGATCTTGGTATACCACCTGCAGGTAAACATGATAGTTATTACAGGATCTTGGTATACCACCTGCAGGTAAACATGATAGTTATTACAGGATCTTGGTATACCACCAGCAGGTAAACATGATAGTTATTACAGGATCTTGGTATACCACCTGCAGGTAAACATGATAGTTATTACAGGATCTTGGTATACCACCTGCAGGTAAACATGAAATTTATTACAGGATCTTGGTATACCACCTGCAGGTAAACATGATAGTTATTACAGGATCTTAGTATACCACCAGCAGGTAAACATGAAAGTTATTACAGGATCTTGGTATACCACCAGCAGGTAAACATGAAATTTATTACAGGATCTTGGTATACCACCAGCAGATAAACATGATAGTTATTACAGGATCTTGGTATACCAGCAGGTAAACATGATAGTTATTACAGGATCTTGGTATACACCAGCAGGTAAACATGATAGTTATTACAGGATCTTGGTATACCACCTGCATGTAAACATGATAGTTACCTGCAGGTAAACTACACCTATGCTCTGTATGTTCAGTTTAATGCATGCTGTTATTGCAGATAGAAATTATATTTATTTTCTTGAAGTCAGTCAAGAAAGTTATAAAGTATAATGTCGTAACAGAGATGTCTATTTTCTACTGTAGTCTGGGTAGCTTCAAATACACTTATACTTTTATTACCATAAAATAGAAAGTTTTATGAAATATTTCTTCAATCTCCATTTATGGAACATACTCTGCATATTGAGTTGCATTTTATAAAACATCTTGTTTAAAGTATGATATAATAGACATAGTACAGGATATAGCTTTACATTATATGATATAGAGCATTGTTAGGAGTGATATTGATCAAACTTAATGTAGCACTGTAAGCTGTGTATAATACCTCAATAATCAATACAACAGTCTGTAGATGTCAGGTTGGTATATTATGTCATAGGAAACCATGATTTAATGAGAATCCTTGTGTTTTGTTAAGTTATAAATAACAACTCCTGTACTGTATACATTTAACAAAATGTAACATAAAGAGTGAATTATTTGCTAGAAATACATTTTTTTTCTTGAAAAGATTTAAGTGTAAGAAAGAAATTATTAATGAAAGTAAGTAATAGGCCTAAGGTGTCTATACTTGGTAGTTGGTATTTCAATGCTTATTTCAAACTTCTATATATACTTACAAGTACTACTTTAAGTTTGAAAGGTCAACTTGGTAAATTGCCTCTACTTAAACCATAACCTTGTGCATGCAGTGTCACTACTGGTTATATTTCCATTAGTTATAAAGAATTTTGACAGGTTATATGCAGTAGTAAGTTATATAATCCAAACCAGGATTATATGGCCATATAACAATGTGAACACTCTTAATTATTAACAATTTATAAACTGACATTCATACATGTTATAATTGTTTATAATACTTCATGTTTGTAACCTTGCTTTCCATTGGATAATCATGACGTTTATATAGTTTTATTTATACGGCTGCTGTCGATTTATACATAAATCTCGCTTTAATCCTCTAAAAATGATGCTTGCTGTATTATAAATTAGTCATAAATGTTTCTGACAGGTTATATGGCCGTATATAAATGGTTATTTGAAATATAGCCCTTGGGTTATATGTACAAACAACCATTTATATAGGACCATATAACCTGTCAAAAAAATCTTTATAACTTATAATAATTATATATAGATATATAATTAAAATGTCACATTAAATAATTATTATTAAGAAATGAAGCAAAAAATTTATATGTGCAGTATTATAATTATATGTAGGGTATACGTATATAGATAAAATTGTTAAGGTTATAAATGTCTCTGTTATGTTGACAATGTCTAGAGCTTTATATTACACATGATGTGATGAAATTTGTCCTGTTTTAGTATGAGTTTATGATTATAAATCATGATAATATAGAACTCCCTCCTGTATTATAGGTGAGGTAGTTGAGACCACAACACCTTCAGATAAAGGTTCCGAGTCAACAGATGGTAGTAAAGAACCTACGCCACACCCAACACCAACTAAAATGTATGTTATCTTCTTATATTTGTTTGTTTCTGTAAAACGAAAATAATTCAAAGATAGGTTTTCTGAACTTGTGATTTTAGTCATTTTGTCTTTCATCAGTTAGTTCTCATTATTTCCTCCGAAGCTCATTGAAGTAAAAGCAACCATTCCTTATTATTTGTAAAAGCTTGTGATGATTTAAGTGGTTAGTGTTTATAGATAAATGTAAGTTTTTATAAAAATGTTATTTTGTACTCAATATTCCAATAATTGTTGTTTTATAAATTCACTCCGAAATATATTTGTTCAAAATTAGGGCTGTTATTTTAGTTGTATTATGGAACATAAAATTATGCATGTGTAATTATTACACACAAAGATTTTCTTCATGCTATCATTACTCTGTGTAATATGTTTTTATTCATAGTAAAGGGAAAAGTGTAAAGTTAGCTGTAGCAAAAGTATCTGAGACAAATATTCCACCACGAGAAAATGTGACATACTGTAAGGAGACGCAGACCGTGGGACTTGAACCTGTAGAGAGAGATGGTATGTGTTGTACATTTACTACCTTTATCTTACCACTCTGTGCAGTTTGGGGGCTTGGTGCATTATGGTCTTTACCATTTAACTGCTGAAAGTCTTAAAATGAAATTCTTTCATGTAAGGAAGCTATCCAGCTAGCTTAAGGAACGTCGGTGGTTCTACTCAGGTGCCCGTTCGTGCCTGAAAAAATGCACGGAGGGGCACCTGAGGTCTTCCTCCACCAGTAAAGCTGGAACGTCGCCAAATGACCTATTCTGTGTCGATGTGACGTAAAACCCAAATCAAACAAACTTAAATGGACTTGTCCAGCTTCTATTTTTGGGACATTCTATTACCAATTTTGGGGATGTCAAGATGAAAGTTTTTAATTATTTTGTCAAGTTAAGCCAGCTGTATAGAGTCTGATGAGGCACATACTGGCATGGCTCCGCTGGTAACAACGGGTTAGCACTTATATTTTATAGCTGGATAAAGGCTAACTTGTCTTATATTTATTTATTTAGAATATTACCATTTTGAATTTAGCCCTCAGACTGCATTATGCTGTATATATAATATGAAATCGTCAATAGTATCGTAACATACATGTATATTGTGTATTTACATAGGTGTTTGACTATCACCTCTAATCAGTAATTTAATACAATATTGTTCACACAAAGTTACATATATAGGTGTTACATATGGTGCTAGTTTACCAGCAGGAGTAGGGGTTTACATTTTGTATTACAAAAGCTTCTATGCCTTACAAATGGTGTATAATACATGTACATGTATGTAGTATTTCTATAACAAAACACAGGGATTGGGTACTTACTGAATTATTAACTCTAGAAATATTTCTTTATTGGTTAGTTTCTTTGGGAATTTTTGACAAAACCTATTCAAAACTTTTTTATTTTCTATTTCCACTTTGTTGTTCCAATTTTTCAGTCCTATAGATTATTATTAGTTTCATGACTAGTTTTATATAAATATATATAAAGTTAATGTTCATATAGGTACTTGTAGAATCAGATACAATATATGTTTATAATGGGATTGAAACAAAATCTGTTTATAAAGTAGTTTTACACTGCATGTGTGATATTGTTTTAATACCTTCCAATATCATTATGAGATAATTTCACTGGTCACACTCTTAGTAACAATTGTTGGAAATTAAAATACTCACTATTAGTGAATTGTTAACTGATAGATATTTGTTAAAGGTATTTAAAATTGATTTACTAATAGACATAATCAAAAACAGCAGTATTTGCATGGTGTTTTTACTACAAGAATGCCTTTAAAATGTTTATTTACATTTTTTGTTCTAACTTTTTTTTCTTCTGTGTAACATGTATATAGCAGTGTCCCAATTTTAATTCTACATATCACAATGTAATGATGTTGTGTGATTTTTGTGTACAACTATACAATGAATGAACATATCCCAATTTTGATTACTTACACCTTAGGACATGCAGGGTTACACCATCGTAAGTAACTTCTAATAAATGACAATATTTCATGATTTTGTATTCTAGACTTATCAATTTTGCATCATGTATGATACATATAGGGATGGAATGAACTGTATTTCTGTTATATTTT